GCTTTTTGTTTTTATGAATATCTCAAAAACAAAAAATCTGAAGAAACCCACTTTTTCCTAGAACAGCCCCCATATGATGATTCATTCAATTTATATTGTGAGCGTGCAATCTGAGTTTCCTATTTAATAGGTTATTTTATGTTCAACACACAGCCTACCTGCTGACTTACAGCCAAAGTTACTTTATCCTTTTGGACAAAAAGTCCCTAGGTTCTATTTTACTAACTATATCCCAAAGGCGTCCCATCAGTGTCTGAAATTGAGTGCGGGGGTTTGTGTTACATATTGAATTTAGCCAATCAAATTTATCCTTCTGGTAGAAAATTTAACGTTGATTGGCTAAATTCAATATGCAACACAAACCCCCGCACTCAATTTCAGACACTGCGTCCCATTGAGATGTATCTGAATAATTAAAAGGTTCCAAACTAATATAATTAAAGGTTAGCCAAACCATTAACCATTAGAATGGCTGGGGGGTCAATCACACTGGGTTTATTAGTTACTTACAGTCAAAGACTATTTTATGTAAAGTTATATATTTATTAAGAGTTATTATTATGTTGTTGTTATCAAGGTTATTATCAACAATATTAACAATTGATTAATTCATTTAACTTGGTCTAAAGCCAAGTATATTTATACCTCTTGTGGCAGTACAAATAACGTGATGTGTGCTATTCTACTCTCCAATAATATGCTTATCTAAATAAAATAAATAGTAATAGGAATAATCTTTCATGTGAGACTGCGCAATGTGCAACGTAGCCATTACAATAATATAGAAAAATGGTAATGTAATATTTAGCGCATCACATGACTTCCGTGGTAAATTCGTTCTAATTGGCCAATATTAACCAGCCAATTCATAGGTCCAAGATTTACTATCTCACAATATTTTCTTAATTGACAAAGCAATTCAGAATATGATTTCATCCCATTACCAAAATCTTGCCAAAGTTTTGCTGCAATTATAGTAATATTTATTGCCCTTGTTTCAATCCTCTTCCATGATACATTGGGTGTAAAAATTATGTTAACAAATATCCATTATATTCTCCAAATCAGTTAATCGTTTATTATATACTTCATAACAATAATTTTTTAATGATTTTCAAAAGATTTTTTTAATTGCAGCACCAATATGACAGACACATATGAACAAAGCAATCAGCCAAATTAACATTATTAACTTGCATTGAAACAACAACTTCTAAAATCATGTTGTTGTAATAAACTCAAAACATCTCTATTAGTTATAACTGTAGGATTCCATTTCAAGTCTTTTCACAGAATTCAAGCAATTCCATGCAGAAGACCGTCTGGTTTTAATATATGTGTTTAAACTATCACCTGAAATTTCAAATCTTTGAGTTGTTTCTTTCAATGATGATTTCCTTGGTGAGAATGATTGAAAAATGAAACAATTGTAAAGAAAATTATAACTCTATAAAAATTTTTTTGGTTTATCAATAATATTAGATTTATAGTGTGTAAATACATCTTAAATTTAAGATATTTGGGTATTTTATTGATAACTTCCCTTGCTACTTTAACATTTCCAGCTTCACCTGTGACTATTCCAGAATCAACGTTTGTTCTATTTAATTAACCAAAAAATCATTTATATGAAAAATTCAGATTAATTCATTAGATTTAATAAATATTCTTTGCCATTTGAAGTCAATGTTACATAGTTATATATAGATCTTCCAGCTGGATCAGTCCATCTGCCATTGATAAAGTAATATTGGTTTGTTGTTTTAATTCAATGTCAACTTTTACATTCACATTTGCTACTTCCTCATTAACAAAATCTAAATCTAGTAGGTAGTTTATATGTAGGCTTTAATTGATTAACAAACTCAATGAAGAATGAGTTTTCTACCAAAGAAAGGGTAATCTGCAACAATCAAACATTCTTGTCAATGCTTGATCAACTTTTTTTTGTTTTGAGGTGTAATATTTGTTGAATCATAAAATCATTCAATTGTTATTTTTTCTTTTCTTTTGATTTTGACTATTATTATTATTAGACAAACTCCTTGTTCCAATATCATTTGAAGAATTTGCTTCATCCAAAAATCATTTACGTAAAATAATTTCAAGATAAAAATTGTTTTATTTCAATAGGAGGTGCATTTAGACATATATTGTTAAATGTTCTTGCATCAACTGTTGACTTACTCTTGTTCCATTATCATTACTATATATACAGGTGGAATCATACTTGCCAGCATATCTTTATTAAATGTGTCAGGAGGCCTTCCAGCACTCTTAGAATTTGGCCATCATGTATGGAATTGGGTCTTTTTTTTTCACCAACAAACAAAAGGTGTTTTTTTGCAATTCTTCCATAATAGCTAACTGATTAATCTATTTTACTATATCCACCATTTCTCTTTTGTCACATTCATCCAAAATTTGGGTCTCTCTGGTACAAGGTTTAGCAGTAAAGATCTTAGTGATTGTCCTTCCATAATCCATAAATAACATCACGTTCAAAATCTTTCATAAACTTTAAAACTTTATTTTTCTTAAAAAAGTCTTTCTTTTTATTTATAAATTTTCTCTTTTTTTTATTTCATTCAACTTCTTTAATATTATGCAAGATATTTTACTGGACAAAAAAAAATATATCGAGAACCAGTATTTTTAAACAATTTCAAATATTTATTCATATATTGCTCAAAACTGGATTTTTATTAGGTGTTGAGTATTAATAGAAAAAATTTATTTCGAGAATTTCTACAAGTCATTAGTATTAGCTTTTGAGTAAAATGTTCTACACGGGTTAATATTAAATTAAAAAATTAAATATGTATAGACTTGAAGTTTTTCATTTATTTTTTACAAATTTTATGAAATTATTGGCTAGAAGTTGCAAGAATATCAGAATCACCTAATAATTAATTGGAGGAAAGAATATCAATTATAATAATTTTTAAGAAAAAAAAATCAAAACAAAATAATAAAGATTAATTTACCGGCATCAGTAATGCTTAACACACAAACACGAAAGTATTTACCGCAAGCAGTACCAAGAGAAATGTTGCCTATAATCAATCAAAATTTATCAACAACAATAACAAAATTATTATTACAGTCATACTTCCATATAAGAACCCTGTTGGGAACATAGTAACCTTTTCTAAAAATGTTGTTATAGAGAAGTTGTTCTTAGGTGGATGTATTTTCTATAAGCTTAATAGTAATTGGTTCCAACATATATGTTCTTATAGAGAGGGTGTTCTTATATGGAGGGTTCTTATATGGAGGTAATTTATTATTAAATTAATATCATTTATAAACTTACTTCCAGAATAATGATGCACTGAAGTTTTTGAAAGCATAGCATAATATTCTAACTCATGTTTTCTCAATGGTGGACAATTAGCAGAGATTATAACAAGTTTTGCTAAATAAATAAATAAAAAGTTAACTAATTAGTTACCGATCAATCAACCAATTCAAAAAAAAAATTTTTACACAGAATGCAATTAAATCTCACCTTTTCCTTGACGTAAAGTTTTAAGCGTAGATTTATATCCTAAAGTGTATTTACCACTTTTCATGACAAGTGCAAGACGTGAATTAATCGATTCAGTGGCTTTTTTACTTTTTTTTGCTGCCATTGTTCTTTTTTTTTTTTAAAAAAGTTTTTTTTGATTTTTGGTAGTCACATTACATTTCTATCAATCAAATAGTAATAGCGTGATAAAGAGGACCCCGGGTATAATTTCAGGGGGTAAATTTATGTATATAAAAAAATAATGTTATTTACAAGTTTACTTGGAAAATTTATTTTTGTCATTTACATCACATTTTTTTTATTAATATTATCAACGACATTTATATTCACAAATGCATTTTCAGTTTCATGGGTTTATGAAGATCTTTTAGCACATCCGCAATATAAAGTCATTTTTCAAGAGAAACAATTGATACCAAGTAGCAGGATTGACAATCATGTCATTGAACAAGTACTAGCAGTTGATTTTACCAGAAATTAAATTTTTATGATTCTTACGAGTATTTTATTTAATTAAATAACATTTATCAGGATCCCAACAATGTCCAGGCAATGACACAAATTGATCAATCATCATCTGAAGAATCAAAATCAACTTCAATAATGATGCGTACATCAACTGGTCAATCATATGTTTGTAGTATACTTTATATTGACAATCAAACGACTATTGAAGAGAATGAAAACAATGACAACGACAATAATAAAAATAATAAACCTGAAGAAAATAAAGATGATAATACTGACCTTATGAAAAAAGGTTTAGTATTATTAGAGCCTTTGCTGGATAATTGCCTGTACTATGTAAATTAGATTTTCTTATTATTAAAAAAACCCCCTCCCCACAAATTTAAAATTTGATTATTTCTATTATTTAGATTAATGGATGGTGGACTTATGAATATTGTCATATGAGGTAACATATTTGTGTGTGTGTGTGTGTGTTAGATTTTTACCTAATTGGTATTTTAAGCATCATTAAATATATAATATTTTTTAGACATGTGAAACAGTTTCACCAAATAATTCAAGCTGGGAGTCTAATTGAAGATACAAGTAGTGAGTCTTATTTTCTGGGAAAGTATGATCCGCGTCATGCAACCTTACCATCACCTTCAAATAATGATGATGATGATAATAATTTTGATGAAAAAAAAGGACATTAGGTACAGATTTAGAAGTTGGTGGAGGAAAAAAGTTTTTGTTTCAACGTTGGAGTGATGGAACTACATGTGATTTAACTGGAAATCCTCGTAGAGTTGAGATTCAGGTTTGTTAAATTTATAAATTTATATGTATATTTATTTTTGATAAATTAGTTTCATTGTAATCCACAAAATTATATTTCTGTAGTTACTGAGATGTACACGTGTAATTATCTTGTAGTTATTCATACATCATATTTATGCGCTCATCCTGCTTTTCATGATACATCTTTCTCAAAGATCAATCCAATTGAATGTAGACCAGTGGTACCTGATGCATATTATCAACGCGCTTTAGAAAAAGGATTAGAAAGTGGGTTGAAAGACAAGTCAAGGTACAGTATCATTGCAAAAGTTTAACAATATGATAGAATTTTGATTGATTAATTATGTTGGTAGTTCTTAAAAAATTTAAAAAATAAAAAAGTAAAATGTTATTGGAAAAAAATATTAAATACATATATGATATAATATTAATAAAAAAAAATTTTTTAGCATTAAACAACACATTAATGAAAGGATAAAACTTTTGATGGCTCAGATAATCGAAATCAACAAAAGCAAGATTTAAATCAAAAAAACCAGAATCAACAGATAAAAATAAAAAGGATACAGCAATAACTCAAAATAAAAAACAATTCGAAAGGTTGGTTGCAATAGCAAATAAATTGCTTGATCAGGAATATTTACATGATTTGGCCAGGAGGCCTGAATTATAAAGTGCAGAAATAGGTTTTAATGATGATAATACAAATCAAGATGATGATTGTGAAATAAAGTTTTTTCTTTATGATGGTAAAAATATCAAACATATTGAAACTATTGGTGATGATGATGATGATGAAAATAATGATGAAAATTTAAAGGAAGACGATTATGGAAAAAAAGCATCATCAAATTTTGAAAAAGATGGGAATTTTTAATGCAAATAATAATGAAAAGGTGTTATTTGAAGAACAAAATAATCAAAAGAGTCATCAAGCAAAATTGAGCAAGATCTTTGAAACAATATTTGACCCTGATGTTGTGGATGATACAAACATCGATAAAGACAATGAAAAAAAAGAAATAAATGTAATACAAAAACCTCTGTTCAAGAATATTTAATTGATTTCCATAATTGCATATTCATAATAATTATTATATCGCGTATTTTTTACCCAAGTTTAATATTACTATTTTTGGCTTATTCTGTGTAATATTTATTCAAAAAAACTTATTTCATTGTAAATTTTACAAATTCTTTCAACAACTAAAAATAAAAATGCAAACTGATTTAGATCAAAATGTAATATTGAATGTCGGCGGAACAAAGGTAATAATAATATGATAAATTTATAAATACACATGTATACAGTATATTAATATATATATATAATTTTATATTATAATAAACTTATCTTTTAAAGAAATTTCAGGGGACTAAATTATAGTGACTAGTTATGAATTAAATTTATGATGTAATTTTTCATTTCTCCCACTTGTGAACCAAAAAAAAAAATCATATCTGAATTCAAGGGTTGAAGTTTTTGTTTTGCAAATAAGATTGTAATTTTTCAAAGATAAAACCGGATCAAACATCTTTATTTTTACTACAAAACTACCATTTAATCATTTCAAATTTCTTTAATATTAAAAAAAAAAATCTTTGAGCTAAAAAGAAAGAGAACAAGAAAAGAGTAAGTATTGTTTTTTTAAAAATGGTGGTTGTGCGCATTTTCGTCATTCTAGTTCAAAATTCAAGCATTACTACTAGATCATGTCGATCATTATTATTAACGGATTTAAGTATCATTAAATATTATATAATAATAATAATAAAGCGAGACTAATATTCATTGTTTTATAATAATGTTATGTTAAAATTAGGGTGCTAATGCCATCTAGTAATAGTAAAATTATATATATATATAATATTTTTATTAAGTAAAATGTGTACCGAAGCAACATTCTTCCATGATGGGCAAACAATAAATATTCAACACAAAAAACTATTAGAGGTACCGACTTTAAAATCTAAACCTTACTTCTGGATTACTTCCAAAGAAAATTTTTGTTTGATCAAATTATATGAATCAGTTATAGTTTTTATTCAAAGAAAATTTTCTAATAAATGCAATGTTATAATTATTAAACCTGCAAACAAGGACACTGCAAAAGATAATAAAAAGTATTTTATTTAAATTGACCTTTATATTCGTTTGCTAATAGGATTACTTAATGATTTGTTACTTTACAATGAAATTTCTTAAATTAAAGGCTATATCAGGAAAGGCTGCTAGAATTATTAGTATTATTCCCAAGGCAAGAGGATAAGAGTTGCCACTAAACAACAATCAAAAGGCTGGCTAAAAAGGAATAATGACCAGTGAAGAGGCTACTACTTCAACTGCTGCTAGCATCAGTATACATGATTCGAACATAAAAATCTTTACCAACATCTTGTGATATACAAAATTCATATACTCCATTAACACAACCTTTAGTTCATACTTTTTTCAATTCACCTGCTGATCTTTTACCAATAAAACATTTACGCCATCTGAAGTAGAATATGATATTTCAAAAACATGTATCAAAAATTTGGGCTCTAGGTCACTACTTAAAGACAATCATTATTCATATGTGACAAGGGATCATATTTTCTCTTTGAATTTTAGGTCTTGTTAATAATATGCTTTCATTTGCATCGGACGGAGCTTCAGTTATCATATGAAACAAAACTGGAATAGCTACCAGATTATCTCAAAGAAACAAAGATTTATCTGCAACTCATTGAATCACATATTGGCTTGCTCTTGCGTGTAATTTAGCTCAAAAAAAAAAAAAATTTTTGCAATGAAGTAGAAACATTAATTAAAATACTTGCAAACTTTTTAAAAATTTTGCAAAGAGAATGGAATCATATTATTATTATGTAATGTCAGAACAAGTTTATGATGAAAGGTTTCGCATTTTACATCAAAAAGTTTATGATGAGCTTGCTTATTGATAGATAGTGATTAGACGCTCGCTGATTTTTGCAACGAGAAATGACTGGCTTAGATTTCATTCAATGCATATAAATTGAACATAGCTTGATATGATTGTAAGTGATATTGGATTTTGATCATATCCAACGCAATCATGCTTTATTGCTACTGCAAATGATGTTTATTATTTTATTTAAATCATATACAGTTTTTTTCTTTTTTTATGATAAATGGCAAAGGTACAAAAGAGGACGACAAAAAGTCTTGATATAATTTCGAGTAACCAAGTAAGTTAGAAAAATTGAATTAATGTTATTCATACAATCAAGTTTTTATAAGCTGACTTGGAAAAAAAAGGAGGTTTAAATTTTTACATGTTTTAGTAGTGGTTTAGTTCAGCAGCCAGTATCTTTTTAAAAAGAAGATTTATCACAACATATATATACAGTACATACTAATATTGCGTTGGAAAATTTTTCTTGATGTACAAAGTGTAGAGGATTTTAATATCACTCTTGTCTTTTTTAAAACCCGTTATTTAAAAATTGTAAAATAAAGGGTCAATAAAATTTCAGCATAGTGGACATTCGTTTTATCACATGTGACAAAATCGATCGTCGATCTTTTTTATATTGTGAAACTTGCTATTTCAATTGAATTTCAGTCAGGAATTTTGCTATAAATGGTATTGCAGTTTTTGGGGAAGATCATCATTCTAGAAAAAACAAATAAATTCTA